GCCTCGCATATATGAAATGATTATTATCTTATATATATTTGCTTATTAAAGTGAAATAATTTGTTGTAATTCTTATGTTTTATGATATATTTCATAATTAATTCTAATAAGCAAGACTATCATATGACGACATGGTAACTGATTCTGTAAATAAAATTAACAATCACAAAACAATGAATTGTTATTTGAATCGTGATAAGGTATACTTGATGTAATTAAATAATTCTTCTCTTCGTCTTTTTAACCAGCTTTTCATTTATTATCTTCGATTTTTTTCATTAAAACGAGTTTTAAGTTTTGTTTCGTCATTTTGTTTACGTAATAATTCATTGACTTTGTTGGTCAGTTGTAAACCAAATTTTTCTGAGTAATATTGAATTATCGCCATTATAAACTTTTAATTTTAAACAAATAATTAAATTCACTTGTTCAGCTTTTAAATTTTCACAAAGCACTAATGATTTTGCAACACACTCAGATATGTGTATGTTAGATGATATATGATCTTCAAGTAATATGTTAAATCGTTCAAGATAATTGTTGGTGTTGGTATAAAATTAAATAAGTGTTTGCGATATTTTGTTTGCTACATTTCACAATAACACAGCCAATTTTTTCCAAAATATTCGTAAAAATCAGTCTCTTCCGAATTAATTGTAATTTCTTTCAAATAACAGACATTTGATAATTATCATAAAGTAACTTGCGAATATTTTTCATAATATTCATTCGGTTTGTGGATGGAATTTCAATTGCATGAACTTGAACATGTAAATATTTCAAAACATGGAATACACATAATAATGTTCGTGCTTTATCAAAATAGTCTTGTAAAATATCAGCATTTGTTAAATGTTTATCAATCATAGTAGCTTGTGTTTCAGAAAAATCATTAAGTTTCTTAAATGAAGAACAAAATAAATTCTAAATTTTCTTTAATTGCGCTGACCATTAAGCAATAAGCAACAGGTAAACCTTTTAAATTCGCATTTTGCACTAAACATATATATAATTGACAATTTTCAATATAAATTTTAAATGTCGAATGTATATGAACGATATTTGAATATTTCTTAAACCATATTAAGTTTCACCAAAGTACGTTTAATATTTACTGGTTGATAATAAATAATGCCCAATTTTCAAATGCTTTCCAAAAGTCTTCCCAATCATGAATTTCTTTTGTAAAGAGAGTATCTTTATCTTGTTCCATTGTCTGGTTGAACAATTATGATAAACGTGAATAAATAATTATATGTGAGTATAATAGAAAAATACAGTTTCTAATAGACATTGAGAATGAATATGAAAGAGTTTTCAATGATATAAGAGTATTTATTTAGTACCATAAATGAAATTATATTAAATTTGTCCATCTGATTACAGAAAATATCAATTCATTTCATTTAAGTTGTAAATATATTAATAAGCTCAATAAGAAAAGATTAAAGTGAGGATTAATCAATTTATCTTAATGAAGATTATGTTCTTAGATTGTAATATATTTGATATTTTATGTTTTCAATTTCCTATTTTTAAGCTAATTAAGCTGAGAAAAGAAAATGCAATTTGTCGTTTTATGATAGATTCTCAGAAAAATGATACACTCAAGAAAGAGAAATTCTGACCACAGATACGTTTCATTTATCTCATTGAAAGTAATGAAATTCGACCATTTCCTCCAAAATCAAAGAGAGAAAGCACCAGAAATGCTTCTAAATTAGTTGATCTTTTTTTAAATTAATTTTTCTGTTGTTCTGTAATTATACTAGTCAATTTATGCTTGTGTGTAATAAATAATTAAAAAAATAAAATTTTTCGAAAAATAAAATATTTAGTTGTTATGAATAAGCAAATATATATAAGATAATAATCATTTCATATATGCGAGGC